CCCAAGTAGCTGGGACCACAGGGGCCCGCCACAACGCCCAGCTATTTTTTGGTTGCAGCCGTCATTGTTGTTTGGCGGGTCCGGGCTGGATTCAAACCCGCCACCTTAGGTGTATGTGGCTGGTGCCTTAGCCACTTGAGCCACAGGCGCTGAGTTGGTATCTTCTTTCTCAATGATACAAAAAATAATGAAGCACTTAATAATCAAAGCACTCAAACACTTGATGGAATACGGTAGATGCTACTAGAATATTTTGGGATAACCAGTAACTAACCATCTCAGGGGATGAATATAAGCTTGACTGATCCTCATCCATCTGAACACTGAATTCAGCACCAACCCATATGCCACGTAAAAAATCCACTGGTCCTATATATGGTTCTACTCTCTACCCACAGAGAGCGAGCGGGCAGGATGGTGGGCTCATCTTCCCTGAAGCAGCTGAATGAGGCCAGGTGTGGTGGCTCATGCCTGTGATTCTAGCACTCTGGGAGACCAAGGTGGGTGGATCGCTCGAGCTCAGGATTTTGAGACCAGCCTAAGCAAGAGCAAGACCCCATGTCTACTAAAAATAGAAAAACTAGCTGGGCATATTGGTGGGTGCCTGAGGTCCCAGCTACTTGGGAAGCTGAGGCAAGGGGATGCTCAAGTCCACGAGTTTGAGGTTACTGTGAGCTACGACTCCATGGCAATAGGGCAATAGAGTGAGACTTTGTCTCAAAAAAAAAAAAAAAAAGAATGAAAGGGAAACATTTGAATGAATCTTTTCTACTAAGTGATTGTGGCAAAGGGCCTCTGGGATCGGTGTACGATTATACATGCTCATGGACAGCAGAGAACCCAAAGGGCTGCCTCTTAGATTTATTACCTTGTCATCCTCTAACTTGTAATGCAGCTGGCCAGGGTCCTGGGGCCCATCAGAGACAGTCTTGCTGTCCATTTTATTCGGTACGTTCTTCCTACTTGAAAGCTCTCCAGCAGAATCTGTCAAACCATCAAAATCTTTTCCATCAGACACCCCCATGAACTCTGTGAAAGAATGGTCCTCAAGGATGTTAGTGGTGTGTTCTACCGTCACCTCCCCAGGGCAGAATTCTCTGGCCGGCTGGCCACTTTTGCTGGGGCAGGCGTTTAGTTCTGAACATGAGCCAGTCCTGCACAGGATTTTGGAGTTGTTCTCAGGAATGCTCTGGGATGATGTGCTCCCTTTAGCTAAGGCACTGTTTTCTTTGAATGGCACCATGATTATCTTGTCCTTTACCAAGCCTCTTTCCACTTCTGTCAGCTCTCTGTTTGAGGATGGTCTGAAATCCTGTCCCAGGGACGGTCCAGGGTGCTCAGTGGAGTCTGCGTCCTTTGCCTGAATGGCCAGCTGATCAGAGCTGTCGCTGGAAGGGACTGCCATGTCAGACAGCGTGGCGTTGGAGGCACTGTGGGAAAAGTAGCCACTGGTAATACTGCTGGTGGTAGGGCTACGGGACACTTCTTTCTCTAAGACCCGTGAGTTTGTCAAATCTACTTTAGAGTTAAACCATTCCCTGTTCTCCAAGCTGGCATTGTAAACACTGAAATCAGCAAACTCCACGGGGACGTAAGGCTGCGAGTTTATTAGCTTCCTGTTAATAACTTCCAGCTCATTTTCCTCTTCCTCAGAGTCCTAGAAAAATGAAGCAAAAGTCCATCATTAGCTCCTTTTATCAACTGTATTTTTGAGACAAGTTTTAAATCCTTTACTATGAAAGGTATTCACATTTATGTGTTCTCAGTTTTTTGTCTTGCTTTCTGAGTTTGGTCAAATCCTGTCACCTATTGTAGAAATAGGTATATCGGTATTTTCAGAGACCTGTGACTTTAACCCCCTCATACCTAATATAAAGGACATTTATTTCTTCCATGTTCACTCCGTTAATTAGAAACGTTTCCTTCTTTGGTTTAAGAGAAAGAATGGGACTGAAATGCTGTGGATTGTTTATTAGCTACTCAACCTTAGTCTTCAGGTGTGATATTTTCTCTTATCTCATTAAAATGAACAGAGGGACAGCAGAAACAGAAGACCACGCCATTTACTCTTATGATTTTCACCTTGGGAAGCAAAGTGCAGGTAGTTAAGGTAATGTGTAAAAAGTTTCTGAGCTATGTAACGGGGGAAAGGGCAGTAAAATGAAGATCCCAACAGCAAAAGGGCAAGAGCACAATGTCAACACATTATATGACTGTATAATACTAACAATTACAGTTTTCTAGGGTTTTTGAGAAGTGTGGGTAGAGAATTTGGCAAGAAGATCAGAATGACGGAGTGAAGCTTAACTGAAAGTCCTCTTCCTTGGCCAGGCATGGTGGCTCTTGCATGTAATCCTAGCACTCTGGGAGGCCGAGGCAGGTGGATTGCCTGAACTTAGGAGTTCCAGACCAGCCTGAGCAAGAGTGACATTCCTATCTCTACTAAAAATAGAAAAATTAGCCAGGTGTAGTGGTGGACACATGTAGTCCCAGCTACCTGGAGGCTGAGGCAAGAGGATCACTTGAACCCAGGAATCTGAGGTTGCTGTGAGCTATGATGCCATGGCATTCTACCCAGGGTGACAGACTGACACTCAGTTTCAAAAAAAAAGAAAATCTCCTTCCTCAAATAGTTTCTTGAACTCTCTTTATAAAGCTTAGTAAATATATGAAGTAGTGGATGGAGTCAATTCTTCAATCTCTCTCCAAATTAATTATTATCATTATCATTATTACTTTGAGACAGAGCCTCAAGCTGTAGCCTTGGGTAGAGTGCCGTGGCATCACAGCTCACAGCAACCTCCAACTCCTGGGCTCAAGCAAGTCTCCTGCCTCCCCTCCTCCCAAGTAGCTGGGACTACAAGTGCTGACCACAATGCCCAGCTATTTTTTGTTGTAACCATCATTGTTGGTGGGTCCAGGCTGGATTTGAACCTGCCAGCTCAGGTGTATGTGGCTGGCACCTTAGTTGCTTGAGCCACAGGCACTGAGCCTCCAAATGAATTATTCTTTTACATTTGGTAGAAAATTGTGGTTAATTTATGTTAAAAATAACGGCATGCTATTTCGTAACCTCATAAACATCTAAGGAAATTGTGAATATTCCTTTTGAAGTGAAACTTCCTTTTTATTAAATAATAATTTTTTTTTTTGTGGTTTTGGCCAGGCCTGGGTTTGAACCCACCACCTCTGGCATACGGGGCTGGTGCCCTACTCTTTGAGCCACAGGCGCTGCCCTCAAAATAAAAATTTTTAATTTTTTTTCTTTTGAGACAGAGTCTCACTCTGTAGCCACCCTGGGTAGAGTGCTGTGGCATCATAGCTCACAGCAACCTCAAACTCCTGGATTTGAGCAATCCTCTTGCCTCAGCCTACCAAGTAGCTGGGACTACATGCATTAACCACAACGACCAGCTAATTTTCTATTTTTTAGTACAGACTCAGTCTTGCTCAGGCTAGTCTGGAACTCCTGAGCTCAGGTGATCCAGCCACCTTGGCCTCCCAGAGCACAAGGATTATAGGCATGAGTCACTGCCCCCAGCCTTATTAAAAGAAATTTAAATTGACACATAATAATCGTATATGATTGTAGGGTACACAGTGATGTTTTGATTTATACAATATATGGTGATCAGACTAGGGTAATTAGCATATTCATCAACTCAAATATTTATCATTTCCTTGTGTTGGGAAGACTCAATATTCCTCTGGCTACCTGGAACTATATAATATATAGAGGGTAATAATTACAACAGACACAAGATACAATACACAAGATAACAAAACCGTTATTGGTATATATTATCACAATTTTAATATAGCTTTTTCCTTTCTTT